GTAGACTGAAATATACGTCTACATATAAGTAGACTGTACTGTAAGTCTACTATACCCTAAATATTGGCGCCAATATGGAAAAATAGGCTCCAAAATTCATTTTCACTTCCCGCTTAGTTAATTTTAATTTTTAAAATAATTTATTTTGGTAAACACAAATTAACGTAGACTGAAATATACGTCTACATATAAGTAGACTGTACTGTAAGTCTACTATACCATAAATATTGGCGCCAATATGGAAAAATAGGCTCCAAAATTCATTTTCACTTCCCGCTTAGTTAATTTTAATTTTTAAAATAATTTATTTTGGTAAACACAAATTAACGTAGACTGAAATAGACGTCTACATATAAGTAGACTTTACTGTAAATCTACTATACCTTAAATATTGGCGCCAATATGGAAAAATAGGCTCCAAAATTCGTTTTCATTTCCCGCTTAGTTAATTTTAATTTTAATATAATTTATTTTGGTAAACACAAATTAACGTAGACTGAAATAGACGTCTACATATCAGTAGACTTAACTGTAAGTCTACTATACCCTTAACCATAAATCTCAAACCCTAAACCCCAAATCTCAAACCCTAAACGTTTGATTGATTATAAAACAAATCTTAGTCATTGTATCAAATATCATATATACAAAATATAAACTACTCAACATTAAATATGCAATTTTTAATCATAAAAACAAAATAATTCTAAATCTAGAATCTAACCCTAAGAATCTAACTCTAAAAGACATAACATGTTGAAACCTTTGGTTGCTAAACCATTAACATTGTGTACCACATAGTTCCCAAATCAATATACATTGTTTAAAATTGTTCAATTATAAGAAAATTTAATTTATCTACCTCATACTAACCTTTAAATTGATGATTTATTAAAAAAATTACCAAAAACATTTTTTCTACATTTTTAAATTAAATTATTTGATTAAATTAAGATGTAGACTAAATAATTAGTCTACATTAGTTTACACAGTAGACGTTAATGTAAGTCTACCTAGTTGTAGACTTCTTTCTTAAAGTGTAGACCTACGAAGGACAGAATCGTAAAATATACTGCACGTTTTTTGTTTGTTCATAAGGGTTAAATAGTAGTTTTAACACCCCTTTAGGTTGGGTTTGCAATTGATTGAATAAGGGGTGCACCTTTAGGGNCCTAGTTGTAGACTTCTTTCTTAAAGTGTAGACCTACGAAGGACAGAATCGTAAAATATACTGCACGTTTTTTGTTTGTTCATAAGGGTTAAATAGTAGTTTTAACACCCCTTTAGGTTGGGTTTGCAATTGATTGAATAAGGGGTGCACCTTTAGGGTTAAAATGAATATTTGGGTTGGTTTTGGCAAATCCCCCTAAGAAAAATCATATCTATAATAACAAAGATACGCTTAACAATTTGGTTATGGTAAATTACCCACACCTTTTAACTTAGTCATGCAAAATATGTCAATAGATATAAGTTTAGGAATCTTCTATTATTTATAAGGAAATATGTCAATAATAGTTAAATGCATCCACAATATATTAACAAGTATGTAATATTTATATACTCTAACAAAATTTACAAGCTAGATATACTAGATAAATTTATTTCCATGTAAATTTTTAAAATGATATTGTTTAAAAAAATTGTTTAAAAATTCCTTTTTAATAAAATTCTTTATAATATTAATTTATGAAGCTATAAGTTTAGTTTTTAGCAAAAAATTCTTCGAAGTTTATATTATCTTTGCAAATTAAACTATACTAATATTTAATCAAGCTCTATTTATATTAATTTATCTAAAATGGAAATACTAATCTAACAAACAATAAAATATAGAAGAAGAAACAAACACATGTTTGTAAAACATGTATAATATAGAAAATTTGAAACAATCTATTTGATTAAAATACATATTATATAATATTATTATGTTTGAAAAATATTTACTATACATATTGTAAATATGTGATTACTATAATATATACCAATTTACAAGTGAAAACAAAATGTTTATATAACTAACTATAAACGAAAACAAACACCCGCGCGGTTGCGCGGATCAAAATCTAGTAATACCCTTATTATAGGTATATAACACACTTGTTAAAGGTATAAGTCCTAAACCGTTTTCTTACTAGGTCTCTGGTTATGATCCGGGCTTTAGGTATTTTCACACAAAATTTAAATCCTTGCAGGCTGGAGTCCAGCCCCCGGAATGGTTTTGGATCTTAGGATTTGATATCATTGTTGCAATAATGGATTTCGTGGACTAAACCCATCAGTCACAAGCCTAGGATCTGATATCCGTCCGTACAGTTTTATAATAGATACACTATGGGTTCAAAAGTAGCCACGTTGTCTCGAGACTCTAAACCTTCCTTTGTGATGTAATTAGTACATTTTATTAATTCAATAACTCTAAAGTTACTCACCGGTACTCAACATTAATAACCAGGGACCACGGGCGCATTTTTTGCATGTTTTTTTTATAGTGAGCCCCATACTACTTATAGACAAAGGAGAAGAACAACCAACGAGCATCACACACATCATGAACCAAACCCAAAGCCATTTTGTCGACGATAATAATCCCAAGCCTGCGAGAACTGGTATGTCCACCAAACCGGAGTGGATAACCGAGACCATGAATGGTGGAACCTTCCGCCACGTGGATCTCCATACAGGAATCAATGGCTGGGCTTCCCCTCCAGGAGACGTCTTCTCTGTCCGCTCCGCCGACTATTTCACCAACAAACGCAAATGTCCCGGCGGAGACTACCTCCTCTCTGCCGCCGGCGTTGACTGGCTCAAATCCAGTACCAAACTCGATAACATCCTATCTCGTCCCGACAACCGCGTGGCTCACGCGCTCAGAAAAGCACAGTCTCTTGGCCAGTCCCAAAACGGTTTCATCTTCGCTGTGAACTTCCAGGTTCCAGGCAAGGAACACCACCACGCGGTGCACTACTTCGCGACCAACGAACCCATTCCCTCAGACTCTCTCCTCAAGAAGTTCATAGACGGTGACGATACATTTCGTAACCAGCGGTTTAAAATAGTGAGCCAAGTCGTGAAAGGGCCATGGATAGTTAAAGCTGCGGCGGGACAGTTCGGTGCGTTTCTTGTGGCTAGGACCGTGAAGTGTACTTACCATAAAGGACCAAACTACTTTGAGATCGATGTGGATACAGGTAGCTGGCCGATCTTGTCGGCACTTGTGCGGCTTTTGCTTGAGTATTCTAGGAACCTTACGGTTGACATTGGCTATGTTATCGAGGCGAAAGAAGAGGATGAGTTGCCGGAGAGAGTTATCGGAGGTGTTAGGTTGTGTCATATGGAGGTATCGTCTGCGTTTGTGGTCGACCCGCAGCCATTGAAACCGTACAGGATGATGGGTTCGGTGGGAGCAAGCCACGACAACGACATGAGTTGAATGAATTTCTTGTTATTTTCTTTTTATAGAAAGATTAAAACATTTATAAATTTATTACGAATAACCCATAAGGGATAAAATGTGCACACTAGTCGTTACTCTATTCTTCTTGGTCCGAGCATCGTGTCACGAGACCAAGGATTAGGATATAGTACAGACAACTTGTGTGTGTGATTGTTGTGGTGGTGATGATGATTGAGACTTGTCACTTAGTTCGATCTCAAAAATTGTTATGAATGCAACAACAAATATATAAAATCATACAACTTGCATGATGATTTTGGTGGTGGTGATGATTGAGACTTGTCACTTTGTTCAATCTCATAAATTGTTATGAATGCAACAACAAATATATAAAATCATAATATTCTTCCATTTCAAATATACTAAAGCCAATGTCAACTATTGTTCATTTTTTTATAGAAAGATCGTCATGAATAACCACATTTGCAACAATATCACTGTGGTTTAATAGTTTCCAGTAGATGAAGAGTCGTCCTATTGGTCAATACGAAATTATTAGTTATACATGTCACATGGACTCATTATTTAGAATTTATTTGATTATGCGAAGAGAGCAACCATCCATAGAATGCATCTTCTATTAAAATAAAACTTAGATTAAAACTTAGATTCATCCTATAGGATGAATCTTTAAATTCACATCTCATTCTAAAACCAATTAAGATGCCACATAGATAATTAATTAAAAAATATTAAACTTATTTAAAAATAACTAAAAATTAAGAATAACGTCAATTTTAACGATGATGACGCTGCTAGCTAAACCGTAAACCCTAAATTTTAAATTCTAAATCCTAAACCTTAAACCATAAACCTAGACTCAAACCCTAAATTCTATATCCTAAATCCAAATTATATACCACATCATGCAACAAACCAAATGCATACTCTAAACCCAAACCATAAAGCTAAACCCAAACCATAAACTTTAAATCCAAATCCTATACCCAAATGCATACTCTAAACCCAAACCATAAATCTTAAATTCAAATCCTATACCCTAAACCAAATCCTAAACGCTAGATCTAAACCGTATACCCTAAACCCAAATTCTAGACTTAAAATCCAAACCGTAAATCCTAAACCCAAGCCCTAAACCTAGACGCTATTGGATTTGGGTTTAAAGTCTAAAATTTAGGTTTGGAGTATATGGTTTAGGTTTAAAGTCTAGATTTTAAGTTTAGAATATGCATTTTGGGTATAGGGTATACAGTTTGAGTTTAAAGTCTAGGATTTAGGTTTAAGGCTTAGGGTTTGAGTTTAAGATTTAAGATTTAGGGTTTAGAATTTAAGATTTAAGGTTTACAGTTTAGTTAACTGCACCAACATCGTTAAATTGGCATTATTCTTACTTTGTAATTATTTTAAATAAATTTAATATTTTTTAATTAATTATCTATATGTTATTTTAATTGGTTATAGAATGAGAGGTGAATTTAAAGGTTCACCTTAGGGGATGAACCTAAGTTTAGTTCATTCTTTTATGACATCCCGATCCTCGTTCATAATTTACTTCAAAATAGTATAATAAACAAAATAAAATAAATATTAATTTATAAATAGAATAATATTTTTGATTACTACATTTTCTATTCTATTTTTAAATATAATAGAGTAAATTATGTAACAGGAATGAAGATATTTTAAGAGATTACTAGATTTTGACCCGCGCAACCGCGCGGATGTTTGTTTTCATTTATAGTTAGTTATATTTATTTGTTTTCACTTGTAAATTGGTATATATTATAGTAACCACATATTTACGATATGTATGGTAAATGTTTTTCAAACATAATAATATTATATATAAGTGTTTTAATCAAATAGATTGTTTCAAATTTTCTATATTATACATGTTTTTCAAAAATGTGTTTGTTTCTTCTTCTATATTTTATTGTTTATTAGATTAGTATTTCGTTTTTAGATAAAGTAATATAAATAGAGCTTGATTAAATATTTGTATACTTTAATTTGCAAAGATAATATAAACTTCTAAAAAATTTTTGCTAAAAACTAAACTTATAGCTTCATAAATTAATATTATAAAGAATTTTATTAAAAACGAATTTTTTAAATAATTTATTTTTTAAACAATATAATTTTAAAAATTTACATCGAAATAAATTTATCTAATATATATAGCGTGTAAATTTTGTTCGGGTATATAAATATTCTATATTACTAATCTGTAATTTTGTTAATATATTGTGGATGCATTTAACTATTATTGACATATTTCCTTCTAAATAATAGAAGATTCATAAACTTATATTTATTGACATATTTTGCGTGACTAAGTTGGAAGGTGTGGGGTAATTTACCAAAATCAAATTGTTAAACGTATATTTTTTATTATAGATATGATTTTTCATAAGATGTAATAAGATTATTAAAGAGTTAATGTAACATAACTTTCTAGTAATAATCCATTTTTTAAAATATCACACATGAAGTCAAGTCATGACTTCTTTTTTAATATATAAGATTCTGAACTATTTCCATAGAGCTGAGATATCCTATGTTACTCAAAAAAGAATAAACCACATCATGTAATCAGAATTAGCTGAAGTTATACTTAGTATTTAGTCTTTTCAGTTACAACTGTGTAGAAATTACAGTCACAAGTATTCAAAGTAAAATACTAGCAACTCCCCTAAACTAAAAATTAACGGTTGACTCTTACTATTTACTCGAAGTAGACAAATTAAGAAGCCAGTCCATTACTTGGTATACGTCCTCTTTAGGTCGACTAATCAACATCGGTGATCACTAACCACCATCAAAGCTGTCTACAAGTTTCTTTGAGGCTCATTAATTTGGACGTACTGTCTCAGAAAACTAACCACCATCAAAGCTGGCTACAAGTTTCTTTAAGGTTCATTAGTTTGGACGTACTGTCTCAGAAAACAATGTTACACAGACACCCTAAAAGCTTTACCAAACCGAACAGGCGGCTGTCTCTATCCAAAGTACTCCTACCTAATGAGATGTTTATATTATCACATAAGAGAAGTGACTAATCTAGAAGGTCTTGGATCCGTAGAAATATAACACTGTTTAGGACGAGATCCAAAACCGATTTATGTAATTTAATTCTCATTTGGAAAACACACATCTTCTAACGAAGCTGTAACATCTTTAGATCTCTCTCTACTATATAATCCAAAAGTTTTAATATAAAAGAGTGAGGCTACTCTGCAGAAACATGAACAATCAAGAAAATGGTAGATGAGGCCGAGAACAAATAACACATCCCTTATTAAGCAAATCATTTTGAGTATATAAGCAATAGTTTCAGTTCTAAATATTCATCAAAAGAACCAACAAAAATCAATAAAACATTGACAACGCAATATCAGATCGGAAACAAATCCCTAATCCCAAGTCCAATCCATCTCCCGCCGTTTTCTCACTGAGGTTTTTGTTTCGGAGGCTGACGATCGGAGGCCAATCTGTAAATCCAATAAACCTGCAAAATCGGAATGATCAAATAAGAGATCAACGATCGGTGATGCGCACAACACACATAAACCTAAATTCGAAATAGAGAGTTAAAAGTGAAAGTTTACCAAGGCGATGACGTGAGCTGCGGCGAGGAAAGTAACCAAACCTGGAACGAGATCCACCTCCATCGCAGAAGAAATGAAATAGACTCTAGAAAGGATCGATCTGGCTCTTTACTTCACCGAAGTTTCTCTGCTGAGAGACGACTAAGATTGTATCTGTGTGAGAAAAGAGTCGTCGTCGAGTTTATCTATCTATGCTTCTTCTCCGATTTGAAAAAATCAGAAATGCTGTTTGGAAGCAGGAACAGTGTTAATAATAAAACTATGGGCCTTAAGAGTGATTCGGCCCATATAACTTCTCCAAGTAAACAAAAGCGCCGACTTGCCTTTCGCAATTGCCACGTGTCTTCCACGTGGCTTATCGTCCCCCTACGTGGAGAGAGATACTCAAACTCATATTGGCGATCTCGCTTGCGCATTTTAGCGAACAGTTTCTGCGCAGAAAGAGGTACGAGTGTTAATGGGAGTTTCGCATACTGTTCGAGTGAATACGTCGTCGTTTCCTTGCTTTTAGACGATGAGGAATGTGATCGTTGCTCTCCGCCGTCACCGCCGTGTCTCGCCGTTTCATAGAAGTACGTATCTCTTCTCTTTACCGTCTCGCATTCGATATTTCGATGTCAATTTGATGCTTCGTCAACAATTTCTAGGGATTAAGAGAATAAAATTGCTGTAGTGAATGATTTTGAGGTTGAGATTCTGGAATTTCTAACTCGATCATTGCGATTGTGAATCTAATTAGTTTACTAGGCATAGTGAGACGAAAGAATCGATGAAGATTTTCACTCTTAAATTTGCTAGATCAGCTCAGATATGTGTAGAAGACGTTTATTAAGCTAAAATGAATGATGTCTGATGATAGTTTTTTAATTTTGGAAGTAGAATTTTATGTTAATGAGGTTGTTTGTTGTTATAGTTGTAGCTACACGTGATGAAAAACCTATTTACTCCAAGCTTGGGGGATACATATCGAGAGGGAAAGATAATGAGCTCCAAAGACGCACAAACACATGGATTTCACCATTTTACTTGCAACACAGAACGTGAGTTCTTAAATTTTGTAAATAAACAAACACAGAACGTGAGTTCTTTAATCGTGTTTGGGGGAATGGGGTTTCTCAGGTTTTCGACGGAATATACCAGCGTTCATGGTGGAAGACCGACGGCAGAGTATGCAAAGTTGCGGAGAGAATCCCTTGAAACCGAATTTGGACAAGCTCTTGGAGCGTATAGCTCGAAGAGTTTCTCTGCAGTGTATCGTTTTGGTCCATTTTTGGCACTATATAGAGCTGCAATCATTTCGTTCTATGTGGTGAAGCTTACCTTTTGGCAGCTGTTTGTTCAGGATATGAGGAAACGCGCTGTCAAGGTCTGTATACTCGAGCCTATGATGATCTGTTGTTTGCGGATAGTTGTTTAAATTAGATGAAATGAAGAGTATTCTTTGGGACATATGGTTCGGCCAGTAATTAATTTGATAGTATTTTATCACATTTTGGATGCAGTTCCGTGAGACTCTTATCAGCTTGGGGCCTTTCTACATTAAGGCATGTTGGTTTTTCGCTTTTTATTCCAGTACTCTAAAATTTATTAATTTCTGCCTCTTCTTCTCTTGAATCCTCACAAAATAATACACTATTTTATGCTGCAGCTTGGACAGGCGCTG